ATATTTATATAGACCATTTAAACAGATAATATATAATATTATATATATATATATATACAGGTAGGCCTGTTATATATCAACAGAATATGGTATGTTCCTTGAAAATACCGCATTGTGGGAAATTGTGTTATAGGAGACATCAACTTAAACAAAAACTGAGATTCAGTTCTAAAAAGAGAAAAACTGCCTTTTATGGTGTAACATTTTCATCATTTTTTTAAATTTATGTACATAAAAACCTTTCATAAAAAACTTAAATAAAATTCAACATCATATAAAAACTAAAAAGATTTTGATTTTAAGTCAAAATCAAGAAGAAACATAATGTTATGCTCACAAATTAAGTCCTCATTGTCACATATTATAGTTGTTCGAGAACATTTGACTGGCCTTATTTCAAGATCTGAGCTTGTTTCATTGACAAGTTCCACTGCACTTACAGTAGGTTTAGGTTTTAAAAAATCTGTCATTAGAGATTATTTGCTCTTGCTTTGTAAATCTTTATAAATTTCTTGTTAGGCAGATAAGCAATTTTGAAGATTTCTTTTAAATATTTCCACTCTCTCCAGCAGAGGATCATTCTCTAAAAAGTAAGATTCCATCTGTTTTGCCATGTCCAAACATTTTTCTATACCTTTCAGAGTGAAATTTTTGGTTTCTTAATTGAAAAGATCTTCAGATGGTAATGTTTTGATATAACTGTTACCAAATCTGCTTCGTTTATTTCATTTTCCATAACTAATTCTAGAATATCATCAACAGTTATTTCAGTGAATCCAACACCTCCTATTGAGTGTGCAAGGCTCCTATGTTGTTATATTCATGCTGAATTGGCTCAACAACATTTTCCTGACTGACCATTTCTGGTAATAAAGCATTCAGGAAGCATTTAGAGTCGATTGGTGCATTTCTTTTAGGGATGAGCCAATAATTTCTACACAATTTAAAATTGAAAATTGTTTCCAAACTTCACTGACTGTAATATCTGTAGAATCTATTTTCTCCAAAATTAATTCAAATGATTTATGGATATAATATGATTTAAAAGTCGCTATGATTCCTTGATCCAAGGGTTGCAATAGTAGAGTGGTGTTGCGTGGTAAAAATGCAAATCAAACCATTGGGATGATTTAAATCAACTGGATGTGATGGTGCATTATCTAAGATTAGTAGGACTTTGAATGCTAAGTTCTTCTTTTTAAATAATTTTCTACATCCAGAACAAAACAATTATGAAACTAATCCTTAAATAAATGGTCAGTCATCCATGCCTTTTTGTTGGCTCTCCAATACACAAGATGGTCATTTTTGTTGCACTGTTTCATCGAGCATGGATTTAGTGCTCAATGAATGAACATTGGCTTGGTAATAAAATCACAAGACATGTTACTACATAGTAGAGTTATGCGATCTTTGGAAACTTTAAAGCCAGGGGTGTTTTTTTCATTTTTTGAGATATATGTCCTGTTAGGCATTTTTTCCATGATAATCCTGTTTGGATAATCCTATTATTCAAACAAAGGGTTATTTAGCTAACAAAGTGTTTAATGCTGTTTCATCAGCATTAAACACTTTGTTAATAATAACTCTTTGTTTGAATAATATCTGCTAGTTCTGCTGGATATTTTTTTGCTGCATCCTCATCCACAGAGGCCTTTTCCCCTTGTATGTGTATGTTGTGCAACTAATGGCGTTTTTTGAATTTTTCAAACCAGCCATTGCTAGTGACAAATTTAACACTGGTTTCATCAGCTGACTACTGTCCCATTTGTTTTAAATAATCAAATATTTTTAAGGCTTTGTGTTTAAGTGCACTTTTGTTTAAAGGAAACCGTTACTTGTTCATATCTTCTACCCATAATATTAGTGCTTGTTCCATTTTTTCCATTATAGGTGCTCTCGGACGAGCAACATTTTTCATAAGAATAGATGATCCGGATGTGACAAAATTCCTAATCTTTTCTTTCGATTGCTTAATCAACCGAATAGTTGACTCATTTAAATTAAAATGCCTATCAATATCAGCTATCCATTCTTGATTTTTAATTTGATCCAAAATTTCTATCTTTGTTTGAAGAGAGATAAATTTCCTTTTTAACAACGGTCCTTTCTTTTCATTCAGCATTGTTATGGCTAAAATTTTTTCAGTCAGTTTTGTGGACAGTAAAAATTGCAAAAAATAACTTCCCTTCACTATGTTTTTAAAAATATACACCCAATAGAAGTTTATACTGTATTTTGGACCATTTTTGCAATCTCACCTATTGAAAGAGTATAAATGATCGAAAATTTAGTGATATATTTGAGTATTTATGGTAACTAATGCACATCTGTCTAGAAACTGGTCTTCCCCTGAAACTTTCATGGGAATAACATGCCAACATTGACAAACAGTTGTTCTCAAGGACATTTAGCTCTGTACACCGAATTGCGGTGCCTGTCATGTGATCCATTGCAGTTTTTCTGTTATGTGACAGATAATTCGTTTCTAAATACCCTAAACCATGTTGTAAGAAAATTTCCACATTTTTCCAACCACGTTGGAGTGAAAATGCATTTTAAAGGTACCGCATTGTAGGAGGCCTACCTGTATATATATATATACACAATATATACAATACACACACTGTTTCACACAAATATTAGTGTTTTTTCCAATTTTAAAGGTTTCAGATTGCTCTCAACTTATGAGTTCAATTAAAGTTTTCTTCAATCTTGATAACTGTCTGTGGTACATGTTGTACAGAGTTAAACTGGTGCTAAAATTTAGTACATCGACTGTTTAGTGATGCTAAGTGCCAGCCAGATTGTTACCCTTCATGCCGCAGCCTGCAAAATGTGCACGGGAATTATTTATAATGCCAGACACCATTTGAAAGAGTGGACGCAACTAAAACAATTGTTTTATAGTATTCAACAGAAATAATTGTTTTATAGTATTCAACAGAAATAATTGTTTTATAGTATTCAAAAGAAACATTTCATTTTTGTAACTTCAACATAAATTTTATTTTTGTAATCTACTAATCAAGAAATTGTCAAAAATTGGGAGGGAGGTTGCTAAGAATTTACCACTAAATTTATTCAGTTGTCAATTGTAAATTTTTATTTGTAATTATAAATTTATGTATTTGATAAGTTTATATGTTTTAGACTTTATAAAAATAACAAGAAAAGCAAAAGCAAAACACAAAGTTTTTATTTTAGTTTCGATAGCCATGAAACTGCAAGTACACTGACTGGAATATGTGTAATAGAGGAAGTTGGTTTCCTTGCATAACATGATGTATATGCATGGCAGCTTATTACCCAGCACATTGGACATTATCTCAGTTTTGCTTTATAACTTTCATCAATTTCATTTTTACTGATATCAACAAAAAGAAGTAAGTTACAATTTGTCACTTATATGCATTGGACACCTACATTTCTTTTTATAAAACATAAACCCTTTGCATTCAAATTGTACCTAACTGATTGGAAAATTACATTCAATTTATAAAAATGAATAAGAAAGCAATCAGAAATTTATTTATGCCAATCAATTCCCAGATACTTGTCAATACAAATTCAAACAAATTTTATTTTTAATTAAATTACTATTGAAAAGAAAGAAATTAATTGAATGTGATTAATTTTTATAATTAATTGTATGGATTAAAACTATATTTTTTTTTAATTTCACATAAAAGTTTGAACAACAGGAAAGATTGTTGGTGAAGCTTGGATATTTGCTGTTAAAATTAAAAATTAGTGTTTTTTTTTTTTTTTTTTACTGAATCTCTCAATAGTTTAACTTTTGCTAGAATTGAATAGGTATAGTGCTCCTTTAACACATTTACTGTGACATTTTTGTAATAAGACATTATGCATTTTTTATGAAAACATTGCTCATTAAAACATATTATTTAGATTTTAAAAAATGCAAATGATATTAATTTAACTTGATTGTTCTTTTCATTCTGGCAATGAATTGAAATTCAAATATAAAATCAAAATTTATTGCATCTTATTTTTACTTTTGAAATAATTTGATAAATTCATTTTCAGACCCGAAAATATTGAAGATGGAACTTTGGCATTTTTGTGCGAAACAATAATGTCGTCGAACAACATAGCTCTGAATATTTGTACAGAATCTGTCTCAACATCCGATTCATTACCGATTACCACTCTTCAGACAAATATGGAAAGTGTGTCACAGAATCACGTAAATCTCTCTGAAGAAAGTGCACTGAAGGTAAGATAACATATTGGCGTCATACATACATTTATTTTTAATTGTTATTTATATAGAATTTATATGATTTTAGGGAAATCTTATAGAAGAAAATGAAAGTTCTATAAATAATAATAATAAAGCACAGAAACTGAAAGATTTAACTACAAAAAAGCAAGAGGTTTGCATTTATTTAATAAATCATTCAATTACTTATATAATTCTTATATTGTGATATATTCTGATATTTTAGTTTTGTACATGCTAATTTAATTTTATAAAATATAAAATTATCTACCAGTTATAATATCCATACTTTGTAATGAACAGTTAAACAAATTATTCTGTGTAATTATGACTTATAAATTTTAAGTATTTTTTTTAGTAGTTTAACATGTGTTAAGTATTTTCATGTTCAGACGAATATATTTTCTATAAAATTCCTAAAATAAAGAGATTGTAGTTAATCCATTTATAATTAATGGATTCTGTAGAATCATTTATCCTTTCCATTTTGTAACAAAAAAGAAAATGTTTGAATGTTCATTAAATATTATAGATGTTATTAACAGATTTAAAACCTTTCCATTGATAGTTTTCTTTAATATAATACTTAGTTTCTTTTTTTGTGTTAAATACAAAGTCTTCCATTACAAATGAAAATATATGATATACAGGTTCTTTGAAAACAAATGCTACTATTTTAAATTACTTTAATTATGTTAATTATTATCTGAGAAATATGCAACATAACACCAATCAATAGAGTAATCATCTGATCTCCCATACGCATTCGAGCATCTCATCGCATACTACCTGTAGGAAACATTGCTAGCAAGTGGCTATTCCACAACAGAGAAGGCAGTGTGTGTTCCGCAGCATACAAAGTCATTATCACTCATCATCGTGCAACACAAGTAATCCATATGAGCCATAGAATTGTGGCTGTGGCTGCTGTGAGAGGAGTGACACTGGGTATGCCATAGCCTGTGTAAGAATTTGTTCCATGTGACAAGAGGTGCACACATTGAGAAATTGTGATGGGCAAATGCAAAACTTGAACAGTTTTCCAATGTTTTAACTTATGTTACAACATCCTTGAATAATAATTAAAATGGTAGCATTCTTTTTGGAAGATCCTGATGTATAGATTTTCTAATTTTGTGTTTCAGCTAGTACAATATTGAAATTATTCTTCTAATCTGTGGTTTTTAACATAAAAAAAAAAGTATTATTAAAACATTCAACTATTGTATTGAAATTGTGCAAAATGAAATTATTCTGAATCCAAATATTCAGCATTTATTATTAAAAAAATAATAGATTTAAAATTTTGTAACCTACCATCATCCAATTATATTGATTTTCTCAGACTGCATTTTATAGATTTAAGTCTTGGGAAATGTTTAGAATTCCAAATATATATATTAATATATATACACACAAACAATTTAATGAATTAGAATTGTAATTTTTAATTATGTTTCTTTCTCAAATTTAATGTAGAAAATTTTATGCAACATTATTTCATTTTAGACGCAAGATTCAGTAACATCACAAGTATTACCGGCCTTAGAGAATGATGCAGAAGAACAGCAACAACTTACTTTTAGCATTCCTTTTAACAATACATCCTCGTTAGAAATGACAAATCAGCCACTCTTATCTCATCAGGTATTTAAATTTCCAATTCTTCTTTATTGTTTAATAAATTATAACCGCTCAAATATGTAACGTATTTCAGGTGATAGTCGAGGGATTAAAGGGAACGCAAGTGCTTTCGAATCTGGGAAGCGTAATCGTGATACATTCGCCATTAAAAGTGATCTCAAGTAATGGGAATGGCATTGGTTCTGGAGATTCCATCAAGCAGCAGATCATAACGGTAAACATGACAATTAACATTACGCATTTAGACATTTAACGTTGCAGCATAATTTACAAAATTTTTTTTCTTTATTTTGCAGCTGCAAACCCATCCAATCACAGATTCTCATTTGTCACAATAGTAAATGTGTTTTTTATATCCAGATTAGGAAACCTCTGGTTTTTACTTTCCCGGCTGTTATGTATACATAATGAGGGAAAGTATTGAAATTGTGTCAAATTTGACCCTTGGAGCTTTTTGCAAATCTCCACATTTTGACCCCTCCCAAGTCCAAGTAAAAAGAAAAGGCCAAAAAAAAATTTGGTGTGTTGGCATCTGTTGGCTTAATATCTCAGGATGGGGTAAATACTAAGAAACAAAATTTGGCATGGTGGATTGTATATCAGGGGAATTGAAGTTATTAAATTTTGGTGGTGAAAGGTCAAGGGGGTGGGAAAATAGAGGGGTCATTTATCTCAAGAGGGTAGAACAATGTTAACACAGTACAGCATCGATTATCCGACTCCTGATTAACTATCACATCAGTTAACCGACCGTTCTAGTCGGCAAATTTCAAATGTCCTCTAGTGATGTGGCACTACAATATTTGGCTATGTCTTGGCTACTTTAATATTATTTTTGTTAAATTTTTGCGTGTTTTAGCTGGCATCAACAGCTCGACCATTGAAGGGAGGCCAGTATTTAAACAAGACTTTTATGAGTGGTTGTTTGTTTTGTGAGCAATAAAATAATTTTTAACGATACAATAGCGACGATTATTATTTTTTAAAAAAAATTGTTAGGCTTAACATCAATGAAAATTCAATGCAAAGTTGGTTAATAGCAATATACTAATTACATGGGATATACTAATATACTATACTAATAATGTATTTTTTTTTCATTCTTTTCAGTTATCCGACTAACCTGAGTCCCCAATTGAGTCGGATAATCAATGCTCTACTGTAATGAATAAAATCTTCATTAAGTGTTTTGCTGTTTTATAGTAATTAAAGACATAAAAAGTTTTTATAACAAAATATGATAATGGATAGTGCCCCACACACACCACCTTTTTTTTAATAAAAACTCATAATTATTAAGCAAACTAACTTTTATAACAGCCGGGAAAGTTACGCAACTTTCGTTGCTAGACTTTTTTTAATTTATTATAGTATTAAGAACGGAATTAATATTTTTATCATCATTTAAAGATAATACAATTTGTATAAATTTGTGTTAGATCGTGTTTCAGAAACACTTTTACCATTGTCATGTATATATAAACATTATGCCATACTTGGACAATTCTTAAACAGATTTTAGTATCTATTCAAGTGTCATATTTTAAACTTTAAAATTAGATTAATTAATTCAAAGTAAATTGTATCATTCATTAAAACTTGAGATCGGAATATAATTTTAAACTGTTCATACAAAAAGTTCTTGTATTTTCTTTCTTCGTTTACACAAAGAAAGCACTTGCATATAATATATTTGTTGATGTAATTTATATGAAATTCTATTTAGAACAATAGAATAAAAAGTATTTTAAAATTTAATTTACATCACTTTTATATGCTGGACACAAATTCTTTTTTTTTACATGAGTCTAATATATGTGTTGAGAATCATTTATAAAATTTTCCTCGTGACCATCGTACTGTGCACAAACCACAAATTTAAAAATATAGTTTTGTATCCAATAATCATGTAATTTATATCTGAAGAATTCACAGAGTATACGTAACTTTTTAATTTTTTACATTAAATCACATAATGAAATTGCAAATGTTCCAGATTTTTGGCTCGCTCCTATTCTGGAAGCTTTTTTAATTTTGGTTTCAGACACTTCATTTGATCAATTACCTATCCAATAAGTAGTCTGATGTGTTTCTACGTTAAGTCAGAGTAGTGTTGAATAAAATTACATTAGAATGCTCTGTTTATTTTTTGTTTTTTATAAATATGATAATGTGTGTCTTTTTTGTAGCTAGCTTTGCAGAGAGATTAATTAATTATTAGTATTTTTTTTTATGGTAAACTCAAATAAAAATTCAATTCTTTTACCTTTTTGTTAAAAATACTCTTCTCTTTACCGATAACATTAGACGTGTGTACAATAATTTAGTTAGGAAAACAGACAAATTGAGTGCTGTGTGTTAATCAGTCTACTCCCAAAGAAACATTGTAGTCTTCAATGGGTAATACAAGGCAATTTTTGGCTACATACCACAGACATGCAGAACCATTCTTAAGAAATAATACAGTGGTAACAAATTTTAAGATATACAAGTAATATATACAGGGGCGTGCCGTGACATTTGATAATAGGGAAGCTGTGTTTCAATGTTAAACCAGTGATATTACGATTTCGTATATCCCATCTTTAAGGGGATGTAGAAAAAAATGTGTACAATTCTTGTATAATGTTAAAAAATTAACCGTTACTTTGACAGCATCATTTACAACTAAATTTAATGAATGAGAGAGATGCACGAGGTACACAAAAAGCTCTAGAATTTATTTTCCTTAAATTTACGATTTATGTATCCATTTGTCATAAAAATTTGTCTTTCCACTTTTTTCCCGAGACTACAAATATTCGAGTACAAAGTAACTGGTTTTGACTTATTTCTACTTAAGAAGTAGTTAAATAATTAAGCGATTAGGGAATTGGGGAC